GTTCCACCTTAGGAGGTGAAAGCCAAGCCATGTCAACTGCCAGTGGAACGGCAGAATGGCTGTCACTCCTCCTTTCAGAGACCTTGGATGGCCCTTTCAAGGCAAGAGACGCACGAGACCTGTTGCAGAAGAGACCACCAGTCCTTGTATTGAAACGATCGCCCATCCTGGCCACAGATTGTAAGTCATTGTATGACCACCTGATTTCCCCCTCATCACCAACGTCAATAGAAGATCGAAGAACATGTATTGATATAGTGATACTTCGGGAATCTCTTCAGTTGACAGGAGGTGGCATTCGATGGCTTCCCACGAAGTGGATGTTGGCAGATGGCTTGACCAAAGACAGCCAAGAGCCAATTGACTTGCTTCGATCCTGTGTCCGTCAAGGGACATATCAGATTTCTCCAGAGGACACGGTTCTCAGACAACAAGCTGAAGAACGCGAACGAAGGAAAAGCTTGAAAGCCGACGTCATGGATAATTCAGCGCAACCATAGTTGTTGTTTAAGAGCATAGAGTTTGCAGTAAGAAAGGTAGTCATCGGTAGACTACAGGGAATACTGTGTCTTGAAGCTCTTGTGTTATACGTTTTCTTGCATCAGTAAATAGCTGAGCAGGTTTGTCATAGCATGCAGCCGTGTCACAAGGTTTCGAGTGTGTTGTCAAATTGTTTTGCTGTGATCGGTCTTGAAAGAAGTTCCTCATTCAGACCAGAGACAGGGTGGCAGCCTTAGCTGTCGTCCTGCTCACTAGTTGTTTTCTATTTTAGCCTTTTTGTGATCAAGAGCACGCGCCGCATTTGTTTCTTGAAAGGCATACCGAAATGCCGCTCACTCCCGATGAAGCAGCACAGCTTCGCTATCTGATGGCCAAGGCGTCGTCAGACCAGGTGATGCCATCCCTGCCAATCGATGCACCAGGTATTGCTTCCGGAGCTGCTGACCCAGACTCAGGTTTCAGCTTGATTCCCTTCTCTGGATCGATGACTGACGCCTCCAAACGTCGAGAGGAGTTGTCAGCAGCCTCGCCGCAACCGAAGAAGGAACGTGGATATGGTCCATCAGCACATCCCAAGTTCAAGGCCTCAGGTTGCATGGAAGGATCCTATGCTGCCACCGAAGGAATTCCACCTCCGATGCCAGGTTCAGATTTGAGCTCAAGTATGCTGCCAACGTTGCCTCCGGATGTGATGGACATGCACCAATGGGGTCGCACTGTCATCCAGTTCGGACAGTACAAAGGTTTGAACATGACTTACCATGATTTGGCATGCTCACCCGAAAACCGAGCCAAGTCATATGTAAAGTGGGTAACGGCGCGTCAGCGATCAGCGTCAGGCCTGTTGCTTGATCTTTCAAATTATTTGAGCCGTTTCATCGCCGAACGTGATGCAGCAGAAGATGCCGCTTGGGAGGGACCAAAGATCCCCGGCACCGATGTGCCTCGCACCTATAAGTAGAGATTAAATTCGTAAGAGTTGAAGCCTTGTCAAGAGAAGCCTTGGTTCGAACTTTTTATAGTTTAAAAGCCGTGTTGACTTCCATGAGTGCCGCAACCATGTCTTCCTTCCAGGTGCAAGCATATCGATCGTCGTATCCGCAGGGACATTCATCGGCTGGAGCTGAAAAGGATCGCCCTATGGGTTTTCGATCGACTGGAGTCGGTCGGCTACCGGTGTTTCGACATATATATATATATATATCTTGAAATGCTTCCATGAGCGCCATGCATTCACCGGGGTTCGCGCTGATCGCATTCGTATATCACAGGGAAGCTCATTCGGCTGGAGCGGAAAAAGGAGCAGCCCTTTGTGTTGGGAATGGGAGGCCCCGTTCCTAGACCAGTGTTTCGACATTGGTAGCGGAGCCCGGGCCAACAGGGCCTGGCCATGAGCGCCAGTTCAGACCATGGAGGTCTAAAGTTCTTCTCAGGAGAGGCTGAGGACTCGAAAGAGTATCGAAGGTGGAGAGCATGGGTCCAGGCGAAGATGCTCACCCTGGGCCAGATGCGAAAAGAGGCCAAGGGTGCTTACGCGTTCACTTATTGGAGTGTGTAGAACACTTGACGCCCGACCAGTACCAACAGGCTGGAGGAGAAAAAGCTCTGTTCGACTTGTTGGACGCCGTTTCCCCGAGAAAGAAGTCTCGGATGAAATGTCAGAGACGCTGACTGAGATCTTGAACCTCCACGCCAATGACGGGGAGTCGCTCAAGTCCTGGATCAGCAGGGCTTCTGAGTTGTTTGACAAATGTGCCCGCAAAACCAATGTGACAGGCTAGAGGATGGTTGATACTTCATAGAAGCGGCCTCAACTCTGAGCAGAAGGCCGTGGTTCTGGCACGGTCGCTTGGTGTGATGAAACGTGATGAAATAGGCAAGGCTATGCGCAGCTGTTACCCTGAGTTCATGGCCAAGAAGAAGAATGTTCTTGGAGCTGCCGCTGTGATTGATGGCGATCTACATGATGCCACTGCTGGGTCATCACTGGATGACGTCGATGACTTTGACGATGTCGAACAGTTCCTGGCAGAACATACAGATTTGCCTCATGAAGAGCCCGAGGCCTATGAGGAAACAGAAGTTGCAGAGGCCCTCGCAGTCAGCTGGAAAGACAAACGGCAAGAACTGTCTCGCCTCCAAAAGGCAAGACGATTCACTCAAGCTCAGGACGCCGCCGTTCGTTCAGAGTGGAAGTGGAAGAGCTGAAGAAGAAGACAAGATGTCATCGATGTTGGGCCATTGGAGCAAGGAATGCCGCCAGGGTGGCAAGTCCAAAGGAAAAGGCAAAAGCAAAGACAAAGACAAGAACAAAGAATCTGGTGCAGCACTCGTCGAAGAGGACGAACACTTTGTGGCAGCTGTCAGCCAAGAGTACTGCACACCACTGGACATCCTCAGGGCTACCAGACAGAGACTCTGTCCTTCAGCTCCCACGGAGGTGCACGGAGACCCTGCTCGTGTCCAGCCCTGGGTTTGGAGTTTTGGACTCCGGATGCGGTCGCACAATCATCGGCATTGATACATTGAATGTTTTCAAGCAACAATGGAAGCAGTTGGGCATTGCGTGTCCGCCTCATGACGCAGAGACAAATCACTTCCGTTTTGGCAATGGTCACAAGGAGACATCAACTGAAATGATACCCATGCTCGTCTGGATAGCCGGAAAACGTGGATGTTTCTCAGAGTTTTGTTTTTTTGCTTTGGGTTTTGGTTTTGGAATTCTCCCGGAAAACAAAAATACCGCGCCACTTGGGAGACATAGAGCTTGTAGTTTTGGTATTCTGATGTATTCTGGTTTCCTCGAGACATCAAAAAACAAATTAAAGCAACTGCATCCGTATTCAATCTGCATCTTCTGCTTGATACTCAGTTGAAAAACACCATTTGCCAACATTGAATAACATTGCACCATTTGCCAACAAAATGAAATCTATGCATACAAGACTGTAAAATTAGTCCATGGATCATCATAATCGGCCGTGTTTTTAAGTAGTTTCCATGCATCAAACTGACACAAGTCAATTGCTTTATAGATGTTGATGAATGGGTGTAAATGCTCTGGTACTCAATGCCTACTTCAGAAAAATGACAAAAATGGTTAGGCAATGGTTAGGCCATTGTCTGTTGCCACCAAAAATATCTCCTGACCTGACAATCCTTAGGTATTTCAGAGAATGTCAGTCAACTCATCTCTGCCCATAATCTCACTCATCCTTTCCTATTGAGTTGTCCCACTCATAAAAGCAGTGTTCATAAAACCCAATAAAGTGCATTCCACCAGCATACATTCTCTATATAGTGACCTTTTCAATGCCCTGTCAGCATCTGTGTCAGCATCTGTTTTGGTGGGTCGCGGTGGGTCTGGACAAAAGTGCTAGATATCTACATGATCTGCATCTGTCAAACTGTCATTCAATACATTCATTCTTTCACCGTTCATCTCTATGCTCTGAAAAACTCTGAGATTGATACAGCCTAGGTGGTCATAAATCCTTGTTAAGTCCTTCAACTAAATCAAAAGTTCTTTATCATCACTAAGCATGTCCTTATTATCATATTGAGGATGGTGTTATCTAAAACTTTGGTATGTCTTCTGCATGTTCCCTATTGAAAGTTCTCTTGCGCAAGAGATCTTTACTGTAGGAAAATCTGTCGCATTTATTTTTTGAACGCTGACAGTGAAACAATGCATCCCTTGATGTGCAAAGGCTGGTTTTTGTTTGATACCAAGCTCTTTGAAGTCTCCCTCACCATAATCTTAAAGAACAAAATCAACAAAGAAGGTCTTCTTCTCCTTCCCTTTTTTGCATCAAACAACCTTGTCTTTTGCTCCTACCTTCTGGTTTCCGCAAAAAGATGTATATAGCACCTGGAAATCTCGTCTCAACTCTCTGCATGTTCTGTGTTGCCTTTGGATCTATCTATAATATTGACTTACACGTGCATGCGAGAGGCAAAATGGTAGGTCTTTGGGGGGGTAGCAAATTCTTAAAAATGTTTTTTTAATATAGAAGTTATCATTCCCAGAGATCTACATAGAGGAAAGCTTCTGGAGAAATATACGTTCCTAGAAATCCAAAGGACAGCTTCTGAAATGAAAGCTTTTTGTTGTCTTCGGGGGGCCTTGGGAGGGGGACTGGCACCTGATATATACCTGGATCTTCGAAACGACAAAGAACTGCCTTTTCAAGAAGAACTGCCGTTGCGGCGTCTTTTCCCAAAACGCCTTTCCCCATCCATGGATTTTTGAGCACACATTTGCAACCTTAACAGCAATTGTCAATTGTTTTTGACTACGGCGTCTTCTCGCGTGCCATTTGAACATCCAAGTGTAGGCATACCTTGCAAGTGGTGGTCATCTACCTTCAACAACTCGAAACCACGCAGCGGAAAATACATGCAGGACACTTCACGAGACCCTCCAGAAATCCACCGACCCTGCGATGACTCGGTCTGCTTGCCCTGAAACCCAAGTAGACGACATGCCCCGACCCAGCCTGACCCTGCTTTGTGACTCTCCCCTGGAGCGCAAAAGAAACAACGATATCATGATATTGCACCTTTAGGTGTGTATTACAATAAAAAACTTCTCAGAGGCCCCCTCGAAGAAGGAAGACCCGTCTGCCCATTGGTTGGTCTCCCTATTTAAATACACACCCACATGAAGACCACTTTTCAGGGAAAGGTCGCAATTGGAAGCGAACGTCTATTTTCATCGACCGGGCCTTGATGTTGTTTGCGATAGATGAACAACTTCATGAGAGGCTGTACCAGGGTCAAGCGAAGCACAATCATGAAGAGGAGAATGATGACAATCACCCAGGGATAGAAGAGCAAGAAAAGAGGGAGGTACACGAGACTTGTCACCCAACCAAAGGTCCAGCACCTTGCAAGGAGTACCACCATGTAGATGGTCCATACCCGTCCATTCTCTTGTGTTGCTGCTTTCATCAATGCCACCAAGCGTGGTGTGTCGAGCACTGAACGTGCAAAGGCTTGGTCAATGGCTCCTGAATTGAAAGGTTGTGCGATGCTGGCGCGCTTCAACATGCTCTCCTCGGTCTCATGTACTTTTTTTGTGTAGTCATCCCACTTTTCTACAAAGCCAGCCTGGTGAGCTGCTCGGAAGTTCAGATAGTCATGGAAGACCAAGAGCAAAACAAATTGATCGACAAACCTGCCCCACTGTGTGCTTGTGGCAGCTTGGACCATGGCAAGCATGAGGGTGCGCAGCACAGGAGAGCTGGCCGTTTGCTGTTTCAGGGCAATCTGGTGAAGCTGCAAAAGCTCTTCCCACCAAGTCCAAAGGGTCCAGAAGAGGAAGCAAAGAGTAATACTCGTTTTGGCAGGCACTGCCAAGTGTGCCAAGTGTTGCCTCCACGTTTCAGGGGAATCCTGATCCTCTGCGTGGCGAAGCTTGGGTGGCCCCAGGACAGCGCTGGTGGTTGCTGCTCCAACGATGCCTGAGAACAGCATCATCCAATATGGTTGTTTCCCTGCGACTTGCGCGATCTCTTGGATGTCCTCCAAATGAGGGCCTTCCTTCACCACCAAGATCCCTCCATAGATCAGGCAAGCAAGTGGAAGAACAAAGACCATCAAACGTCCGAGGCTCATGACAAATGCAAAGAGAAGACAGGTTAAATAATCTCCCTTTGTCTTATAACCATTTGCTGCGTGCCACGAATATTCAGCTTGACTCAGCCTGCCAAGCAACGCCAAAGCCAAATGCTCAAAGAAACTAAATTGTCCTGTCTTCTTCTTCTTCTGCAAGTCCTCGAGTAGGTCTGTCGCGCTGAGATTTCTCATCGTCATCCGGCGGAGAAATGCATCCCTGGTGCTGAACCGCAGTTTGTCATCTCCTTCACTTTGATTTGTTTCTGCTTCACTTTGACTTGCTTCGCCTGCTAGGGTGGTGGGCCAACATCTAATTATGAAACAAATTGCTGTCATGACAATCATCAAACTACGTGTTTGCCTTGTTGCTCTTAATTAGAAGTCTACTGACCGCGGTTGATTTCTTTCTCCAGATCCTCTGGAACATACTATTCAAAAATGTCCGCGTTCATAAGTTGGTGGCGGAGGAAGAGGTCCGATCAGATCTCACGCAATGGTTGGGGAACAAGTTTGCCAACGAACATACTCATTCTCAGTCCGCTTCTCCAAAGGGCGCATGGGCGTTGTCATCCTTTCGTATCTCCATGATTTCCAGAAGTCTTAGAAGAAGCGAAACAAGTTTTCATATTACACTCTAACCTTTTTGCCGTTAGTTTTTGTTTACCTTTTATATTAAGACTGCAGTCATACAGGGCTTGTCGCGAGCTCAACTGAATTCTCACTAGCTTCACATCATTCTTTGAGCTTATCCAGTAACATCGAAGCCATCAACCACGTTAGGGGACCCCCTGTCCGACCCTGTCCTGTCACTTCAGCATCTGTCTTCACCGCACGCGGTTTGCTTCTGCACCGCTTAACAAGCCTGACCTTGGAGGGGCAATGAAGAGCGGAAAGCACCTTTCGACCACACCGAACAGCTGTTTTCCTCTCACTGTCATTCGAGGTCTGCGTTGGATAGGGAACTTGGGGCGACCCGCTCAGGATGTTGGTATCCCCAATTCGAACCCATGCGTGTTCGATATGGACCTACATACAAGAGGTCTCACCCTTCCACGCTGAGCCCACGCAAAACCAAACATGCCTTCTTCCCCCGCTGTGAAAGCGCTAGGGCTAGGGCTAGGGGTCTGACGACTGTTCTTGTGGTCGGCTTGAAGCCAAAACGGACTCACTTTAGTACCTGAGGGCACAAAGTGTGCGTTCCTTTTTAAAAAGGGCAACCAAGTCTCTGAGGGCATCGTGCCCGGCAGGATGTTGTTTCCTTCGCTAAAGTCATGCGGTTGAAGCCATACCCATACACTAAGGGCGACTCCTTTGTACCACATGGTGGACAAAAATAACATCCCGTTGTCCTCTCAGTCCGACCTGTTGTAATCCCCAAATCGGTGGTCAATGGTTGCTTCACTATGGTCAAGTCTGAGTGAGATCAGTGGAATGAATGGACAATTCTTGTAAAGGTTGAAAACAATATACTCGGTCTTCCACCAAATGACCATGGAATCGCAGTCCTGACCAGCTCTCCAACTTGGCGAGCGAACGAATCCGAAAGGACATAGCCATGCGCAAAAGACCAAGCAAATCATGTGCTCGTGCTGGCACAAGGGGGCTGACCCAAACCATAAGGGCTGACCCAAACCATAGGTTTTGCCCAATCCTCATGTCTGCGCACGTTCTTCTTCCCAAGTTGCTTTCTTCTTCTTGCGCACGTTCTTCTCCTTTATGTGCTGATTAACCAGCGGTGACGTGCTAGAATTCACGGTTCGTCAGCAGTTAGGTGAACGCTGCTTACCTATTGTGATGAATTTCGGAGGTCGCTTCTCCCCACAATGGCAGCTTCTAAATTCTCAATTGAGTGACGCCTCGGTGCTTCTCGGTGCTACTCTAGTCATACGGTCGGTACCATAAAATCAGTAACAACGCTGTCTTCGGGCGAAGACGGATTAGTGGAAAGAGGTGAGGGAGCTGGCCAAGAACCTTTGGCTCCACTTGCCATCCAAGGGCAAATGCTGCGATACTCAAAGACGTTTAAACTTGTTGCCTTGCGGTCCTGCAAGTCAGAGGAATGCGACAGGCTGCCTATCTTTCGCTCATCATCTCCTTCACTTTGCCTTGCTTCACCTGCTAGAGTGGCGGGCCGGCGTTTATAAGCTATATATATATATATATTTAAAGCCAATAAGATGTTATCATGGAAATGCTGCGTTCGCCTTGCTGCTCATTGATAGCACGAAGTCCTGACCTAGACTTCAGTTGACTTCCTGAATTCCAGAATTCCAGTCCTGTCTCCCCATCTTCTCCAATTTTGTGTTTTTTTTCGCCAGCCGTGACTCGAAAAGGTCGTCAGCCCGCCTGCGTGCTTCACGCACCGGGATCCTCGCAGCTCCTCCCTCAGCTCAACCTCCTGCGATGTTCCAACATGCGGAGGAGACAAACGAAAAACCGGGTGTAGGCCCATTAGTGGTATGTACCCCCAAACGGTGCGTGCTACCACTACCGTATACGAACCCCTATATAAGTGTGTCCACACTGCTGCTGGTGAGAAAAAAATTCAAGGCAACTCCTAAAAATCCCTCGCATTCCGAGTCCGCACGCTTTGCTCCTTGTGGGCGGATCAGAATGCTGTGCACACGCTGGTCACAGCAGCTACATCCATGTACATCCTGTGGTGGGCTAAAGTATGATCAAGAGTCTACCGTCTACCAGGACCCTCCTGTCGGGGTGTCTATTTATAGCCCATTAGCTGTGATTCGGGGTGTCCATTAACCACCCCGACTGGGGGTCCTGGTACAGTAGTCTTGGGATGGTCTTCCGGTTCGCGGGGTCCTTAGACGTTGGTACAGGCGTCGGAACGGCGGAAGAATTCGCGAAAGTCGCGCGTCGCAATGTGTTGGAAAGGTCGAGTACCTTGGAAGGGAGGAACGATGTCCCAGAAGGGTCCCTGACGGGTCTATCAGTCTATCATCCACATCGAGGATGGATGCAAATTCCATCGCCAATGATGGTTGGTAGGCCAACGCAACTCGTTGAGTTAAGTAGATTTCTGACAACATACCACCAGGGAGAGTGAAGCTGTGCTCTCAACCCAAAAAGTGAATAACTGCCTGGTAAATTCTGGAGCTTCCTCCCTTAGACTATCAAGTCCTGAAGTTCAAGAGGCTTAGGACCTCAGCACCCCTCCATCCACCAAGATGGTGTGATAGAAGTGACCCTCCATCCACCTTGCAGAAGTGACAAATCCAGATCCACCTTATACCTAGATTTATGTCAGCCCTCTAAATTCGTCGTCTCCTGCTGCATCTCAACCACAACTTCGTCGGCGCCTTCAGTGGGCAGGCAAACATCTTGAACAAACGCCCAACGGATGACTAACCCCCTCCTGATGTGGGTCAGAACCCGAACCCTCCCTGTAAACCAAAGTGGAGACCTAAAGATTTCTCGTCACCATTTAGAGGTTCGGTGTTTGGTTGTTAGCGCATCCACTTCTTCAAATGGAAGTGAAGACCAGGCCACCTGGCCTTGGCCTTCAAGAAGCGCGCCACTCCAAGGCTCCAGCAAACTGAAGGTGGATCTCTGCCTTGAAGGGGATAACCAAACAAAAGTGATCGAAAAGAGATATATACAGTGGTGTATAGTCAGATATATACAGATATAAAATGTTTGAGTCAGAGTAGATGGCACAATCCCCAAGTTCGGTGGTTTATACGGACCCCCATGTAAAGGACATCTTGGGGGTTTGTGCCGTCTACAATGAAACCACTGGAACGGAAAGGGGCCACCGCGACGACAACAAGCATGACAGGTCAAAAAGGATGCGCTTCGGATGCTAAGCTTGACCAATCCTGCTCGCTTCATCCACCTCTGTAGCCTCCCTTTATGGCCCGCCTTGGGGAGGAGGAGCTCTGGGCTTCTCCAGCGCTGCGCGCATCGAGCTGGAGCTTGCTCGCACAGGTGAGGGGGTCCATGGCGGCTGAAGAGGTGAGGAGCCCTGACACGATTGGTGAAAGGTGAGCTGCTCTGAAGCGCTGGATTTCATCATCGTGAACGAGGGTAGCAGGCCATGCTCTGTTCCTCAAGCACGTGGAACTGTGTGTTGACCATCCGAATATGGTCTGCTGGCAAACGTGTGGCTGCATCATGGCGACTCTTTTGACAAAGCTTCCAACAGCACCCGGGAACACGGACGGTACAGGACTTCGTCGTCGACACGGGACTTCGTCGTGGCATGGACACGGACCAGTGCCTGCTGAGGGATGAAGAAGAACATGTCAGACCGGGTGTGTGATTTCCCAGCAACTCCATCTATCGCTTATACACCTACGTTGGGCTGGTTGAAAAAGGGGTTGATGTGGGCATATATTCTACGCATGTCTGGGTATAGGTGTATCCACTCAACCTCTATAAGGCTACTCTGAAGGAGTCCTACGCTGCCTTTTCAGCCACGAGATCACATCTGTCTGTAGATCGCACGCGCGATCAAGCGTGAGCTGCTTCAAAGATTTTTCAGAAAATCCCCTCCACCAGTGTTTTACAAATGCTGCAATGCTCAAAGGAACACATCTGCCAGGAGTGGCCTGTCATTGGATTCAATTGAAGGGAATCTTCTGGGCTGTGAGAAGTGCGCCGCAGCCACTTCGACCATAAAGGTCTTTATGGTCGAAGACCGGTGGTCGAGGCTAGCTTCCCGCGGGGGCGTATCGCACAGAAATGGAATAAAATGCACAAGCAGTGCAGCTGCATTTCCTGATGAGTGCTTGGAGTGCTGAAAGGCTCATGCTCGAGCCGTTCAAGCACGAATCAGGTCGAAATCAGTTTCGGATTCAAATCTGAGACGACTGTACCGAACATCTGGTGTTGCAAGCCCTCCCCTATAGTCACAATAGTGGCCAAAAACAAGCCATCACAGTTCTCACAAAGCTGAGCGAGCAGGAGTCAGGAGGAGAGCAGGAGAAGCAAAAGGCTGATCATGTCGTGTGAGAATCAGCAGGTCCTCGATAAATCATCCAGACTAATCCTGTGAAATCATCTATCGAGCACTCATTCCACTCCCACAAAATCGTGAAAAGGTTGGCGGCTGGAATGCCATGATTATTGGATCACATGATAGCAAGTATGGAACAGCTCCGCTCCGCTCGAAACGAAAACGTGAACACATCGGGTGGCTGGAAATGGCTCCATATATGGCTCCATGCGCCCTGGTGAACACCATGTCTGGTGACTCACTTGATGTCTGGTGGGAAGCTCCTCCTGCTCTACTTCCCCTGTCATCCTGGCTTAGCTTCAAGAGGACCACGACCGGCGATTTGACGCTTGAGGCGGCGGCGTCAAGTCTCACGCTCCAAGCTCCAAGCTCTTCAAGGTGGGCGAACAGAGGTGCGAGACTATGAGGACTGGAAGGTCACAACCCTGACCCTAGGCCTCCAAGTACCTTCTGAGTAGGGTGAGGACTTGATGAATGTTTTTGCAATCCGAAACACCACCTGGACCTCTCCGACTTCGGGTTGTTAGACATGGACACCCCACATATGACCTCGCCTCAAAGGGGCAATGAATGGACGCCCGGAATCCGTGGTGCTGGCACCCATTGGACTGTTTGAAAGGTTTCAAGAGCTGTTGCGGTCTTCCTCGATGAACCATCCTCGGGAAGACCGAAAAGAAGCAACACATAAAGTTCCGCACAATACGCTCCACCCACCAATTTGGAGTGTCCTCAGAGTGTGCTTGGACTCTGGCTTGGCCAGGCACGGAAAATCACACTCCGCCGGATTCTTCGACGTTGTCATTCAGCGAAGTGGCTCAAAAACAGATTGCCATTCAAGCTCCAAAGGGAGGCCATTTTGCCACTAGGTTGGAGGCCATCGCGTTTTTGGGGTGGAGCCCATTGCTATTAGGATCGGTTCTGTGGACGTTTCTGAGCCAAATCTTCTCTTTCCAAAAGCATCTTCAGTGTACAGTAGTCTCAGTGCCAGTCATTTTCCCAGCTGCTAAAGGACCCTCACCAAATCGTCTGAACCTGATGCTGCAGTCGAAGTTACTTGATGCCCCAAAGCTTTTGGTCTGAAGTTTTTTCACTCCGCGTGTGAGCGTCTAAGAACTTTCGACGCTCAATGGAGCAAGGGAGAACTCCTAAAATTCCCTCGTTGGGTCCACCGAAACACCTTTCCAGTGAAGAGAGTCCCTCTCCCACAAAGCTTACCAGCTGTTCCATCCAGCCTCAAGACCATGGCACACATTCAGCCATCGTCTTGGGAACAAAAAACAAAGACTGAGGCACAAAAAACACACCCTTTCTAGGCACTTGGCGCATGTGCAGTTCAAAGAGAAATGGCCGACGGCCGACATGCGGACCCAACATCATCCTTCTGGTGAAGCCGAAAGCATTCCCTCCCATATAAAAGACATCTTGGAGTTTGTGCAGTCTACTCTGAAACCACTGCATGTACAAATAAATATTCTGATCACTGATCAGCCTGACCCTCCACATCCTTTCAACTCGAAACTGGCTCAAACCGCTCAAACCAATTAATCCGGGCAAGGAACCCACTTGACCACCTGGTCGACAATGGGCATGGAAAGAAACTGCTTCAGGAAATTTCTCCACGTTCGATCCTTCACCAAGGTGAGCCAAAGTGAGTCCCAATAGCCAGCCCCAGCCTTTTTTTCCATCGCACGAGTTCGCGCACGAAGTCGTGTGCATGGCGAACAGCTGGGTTCCCATGGTCAGGTGGTTCGCGGTGTGTGTGTGTGTGTGTGTCACACTCTGTTTCCAAGAGTTTTAATACGCAGGGGGACGGGTCACCACCGATACTGCCCGTCCAACGAAGAGGGTATCGGTTGGTGCTGAAGCAGTGGAGGACGCTCCACTGTGTACCTGCATCAAACGCAATGACTCCACTGGTTTCCCTTGCCGCTGTTGTTTTGTTTCCATGGTGGTTCTTCGCATGATATCCCCCAAAACAGGTTTCCTTGCACGGCGTGAATTCAGTCTGCTAAGTAATCAGTAACTAGTTTTCTGCAGTCACGCGTCAACCTTTGTTAAAACACCTTCAAGTACTCGGACTTTTCGCCTTTCGGTTCACTCTTTCCTTTCCTAGGTCTGCTAAGTATTCAGTAACTAGTGTTCTGCAGTCACGCGTAACCTTCTGTTAAACAATACTGTTTTGCGGACTCATGCACCTTTCCGTTCCCTCACCTTTTTCCACTTGGGAATAGATTAACTGAAAACCAATGTCAGAGTGTGAACCGCTCAGTCGTCCCACTTGGGTGCTGAGTGTGATCTCCCGCAAGGGAGCGCTGTCCTCGTTCCGGATTACCATTCACTGATTTTCTTCCGTTCTGCACACGTTGGATTCTCTTAACGGACTCTGTTTCACTCCTTAATTCCCAAACCCCTATGCCGTCGGGCCCACGACAACATTTCCACCGATGCATTCATGTGATTGGCTTCGCATTTTGTCAAGTTCCTTTCGCTGCCAGCGTTCAATTTCAAGACCACTTTCGAGACCAATCTTGTTGCCAACTGGACTCTGATCGTTTGGGTTCCCACACCACCCCCCCCCCACCGCCGAGTTCTACTCCCTACCTAATTAGGGTAGCAGAGGGAAATGGTACTCGACACACTTGTGCGTCGGTGCCTTTCCCTCTGTTGTCCCTGTTCTAGTCCACCTTCCACTCCCTCCCGCTCCACTCCACTTCTCTCTCCACCTTCCACTCAACTCCACCACTCATCTTTTTCTACCCGGGCGGTTTAGGACTAAAGTCCCGCTCCCTAACTATTGCACCTAATTAGTTTCCGCTAAGTAGTCAGTAACTCTAGAGTGCTAAGTATTCAGACACACACATGTACACACACATGGACATACACCCCCTCCCTGCCCCCCCGCTTTCTTTCTTGCGCTTTTCGTCATTTCTTTGGCTTTAATTCAAGCTTTTTAGGTGGTTCTTGAGGTTCGTTTCCCTGCCCCAGTCAAGGGCTAAGTATTCACCTTTTACTACACCTAAGGTCTTTTTCTCCTGCCCTTTTAGCGCTGCTCTTTCTGTCTTTCTGTCTTTCGTTTTGTTAGGCTTTTTAGGTGCCTATTTAGGTTTTTCGCCGGAGCGCCGCAAGGCGGCTGAGTGTGTGTGTGTGTGTCACATTCTGTTTCCAAGAGTTTTAATACGCAAGGGGACGGGTCACCACCGATACTGCCCGTCCAACGAAGAGGGTATCGGTTGGTGCTGAAGCAGCGGAGGACGCTCCACTGTGTACCTGCATCAAACGCAATGACTCCAATGGTTTCCCTTGCCGCTGTTGGTTTGTTTCCATGGTGGTTCTTCGCATGATATCCCCAAAAACAGGTTTCCTTGCACGGCGTGAATTCAGTCTGCTAAGTAATCAGTAACTAGTTTTCTGCAGTCACACGTCAACCTTTGTTAAAACACCTTCAAGTACTCGGACTTTTCGCCTTTCGGTTCACTCTTTCCTTTCCTAGGTCTGCTAAGTATTCAGTAACTAGTGTTCTGCAGTCACGCGTAACCTTCTGTTAAACAATACTGTTTTGTGGACTCATGCACCTTTGCGTTCCCTCACCTTTTTCCACTTGGGAATAGATTAACTGAAAACCAATGTCAGAGTGTGCGTGTGTCCATTCCTCTCAACCACAAAGAGAACAATTCACACCGTTTAACGCAGTTTACATCCAAGTGTGGTGGCAAGGTTTGTTGCATGTCATTTCAATTATGCGCTTGATAATGTTTTTACCGCCAAATCAATCTGCACCACCCAGGGTTTCTTTGTGAAAAATCGTAAAAAACAAAACAACATGCTTGTGTAGAGGTCAAGCAACCAGTAGGCGCGACATGACCACAACAATCATATCCATCATGACCTTGCCAACCGCCGCGTACATCACAATGTAGCACCACCCATCTCGGGTGATTCCAGTAGCACACAGAGTCTGTACTTCACGTTCATAGCTCTCCCGCAGTTGTTTTGAGTTGTGGCGCTCAGAGTACCAGGTCGTGTACAGCAGGTAAGGCATCGCACGATCACAATGTCCAGGCCCAAAGCCCGTCAGAGCCATTGCGCTGGCGAGGGTCTTAAGGTCTTTCTCGTCTCGCAGACCTGAGTTCGTTGCTGAAGGGACATAAGCGTCTCGCAAACGCACATCTATATACATCAAATATACATCTATGATATACCTGTTCTGGTGGGGTCTGGGTCATTACTACATTTCCACAAAATGGTGCTAGGTGTTGACCCATACCCTAGCTAGGACTTTTGATCATGTACGACATGGAGGGCAAACTCAACATACGAATTGAGGAAACACTCCAGCAACAAAGGGCGAAGAAGTTGGGCGCACCAGCTATTGAGGGAACACTCCAGCTAGAAGAAATTGGGCACACCTGATACCGCTGGTGCGCCATGTTCAAAGTATCCAAAAGTTACCAAACCTCCGGTCTTGTTGGCGTTTATGTTTGAGCCATACTTGTCTGAGTGGCGAGGGTATGTCGTAGTTGTACCATCTGGATGTACAGACGTGAGTATGGACGTCCTTGTTCTTGTCCGTTGCTGACTACCTGGCCGAGTGCAAGCTTACTCCTACGCAGCACATGTTTTCCAAGACTTGTCCCTTCGCAGGTAGCAAGTGCTCCTCCACCTGTCCTGTCCGGCCTTTTGCAGATTCCGATGGGGTTTTGTTGTTTTTCACCCACAAGGGCGGCGTCCCTGCCTCCATGCAAAGCTGCGTTCCCAATCTCTGGATCAGGATGATCAAAAGCTTCATTTTTGTCAGGGCCATCGCCTCTTTGACCACGAGATGGGACGAGATGGGACGAGATCGTCGGGGGACCCTCTACTAGGTGCCGACATGTGACTAACAGGTGTCCTTCTCGGGAACTATGTCATTGGACACTGAATTGAAAAAACAATGTAATACAATATATACTCTATATACAATATAATATAACATAGTAATGTATAGCATGTATTACATAATATGTGTATTGCGTGTATGGCCCATATGTCTCACTTTCCGCAACGTTGTCCAATATTCAACAAACAACATGGAAATAGAAGCAGCACAAGAAAACAGAGCACTGTGTGAGGTTGCCACTCTGCTACTCCTGTCAATTCGGTCAGTCAGTTAAGCAACAAAAAGTCTGAGACAATATATGATGCTCCTTTTGAATGGCCTCCTCCGAGCTACTCTCAAAATGCCAAATCCTCCCAACTCAAACAGCACTGTTCAAGGTGGCGAGTAGTCGTGCACCGATCGGTGATCTCCCGCGAATACCTAGGGTGGAGTGCAGCCTCAGGAAAATGTCTTCAACATGGTCCTTCTCCCCTGCCTGGCCCATTCAAACCTGCATCGTCTGTCTCTGCAGCATCACCTTCTGACAGGCCAAAGGTGGGGGGAGTGTGGCTTACACCTGGAGATCCGCCAATTAGGAGGAGACCGTTTGATCGCTTCTAGATGCGTTGTGGTTCTTTTGGGCCCTTGCACCCTGCATGGGAGAAGGATCCAAGTGATGTTATAGGCCTAGGTCAGTCCAGGAAAAATCTGAACACGACCAAAGCATGAGGCTTTTGGAGCAGCAGAACCGCTGAAAGAGCCTCAGTTCCCAACCTGAAGAACAAGAACCTAGCTGGCTTGGCCACACCGAGCAAGAACTAGAGCTCAGTTCCCAAGCTCAAACTTTCTGGGGGGCGACAGAAATCACGCATCTGGACCACCAGAGTAACGACGTCCGCTTGAACGAACGATGTTCATTACCATGCTATGTCTCAAGCAGACGAGATATCGTGGCCGAAGCGTCATGGGGTGCATTTCAAAAATCAATAGAGACTCCCGACGATGCCGAAAACAGTGACCAAAAACAGTGTCCTCATTGGACAAAAGGTCAGAGGCTACTGGTAGAATGGTAGAGAAGAGCCCCAAAAAAACGTTTTTTCTGGTAGATCACCCCGTCGCTCCAGCCTTGATTCTTCCGGTAGATCAGCATCTTCATGAGCGGCTCCACCAGGATCAAGCGTAGCACGATCATGCAGAGTAGGATGATGACAAGCACCCAGGGATAGCAGCAGAAGAAAAGGGGAAAGTACACGAGACCTGTCACCCATCCAAATGTCCAGCACCGTGCAAGGAGCACCACCATGTAGATGGTCCAGAGGTATCCATTTGTTTTTGATGCTTCCTGAATCAGAGCCACTAAGCGTGGGGTGTCCAGCATTGAACGTGCAAAGGCTTTGTCCATGGTCGCATCACTGAAAGGTCGAGTCACCATCGCCCGCCTCATCAGATGTTTCCCCTCCTCTTTGGCATTCTTCACTTTTCGCATGTAGCACTCCCACTCGTCCAGGAAGTCGCGCTGATGGGCAGCTTTGAAGTTCAGGTAGTCATTGAAGACCATGAGCAAGGCGAATTGGTCGACATATCTGCCCCACTGTGAGCTTGTGGCAGTTTGGACCATGGTAAGCATGAGGGTGCGCAGCAGCGGAGAGCTGCTCGTCTTCTGCTTCTGGGCAATTTCGTGAAGTTGCTTCAGTTCGTGCCCCCAGGTCCAAAGGGTGGAGAATAGAAGGTAAAGAGTAAAACTTGTTCTGCCTGCCTTTGCCAAGCATTTCCTCCAATTTCCTGTATGACTGGTAGCACCGGTATCATCACGCAGCCTGGGTGGCCCTAGGATAAAGCTGATGGATGCTGCTCCAATGATGCTTGTGATCAGGACCAAGGAGTATGTCAACTTTCCTGGGGCTTGGGTGATTTCGTCAATGTCTTCCAGAGTTGGGCCTTCCTTCACCACGAAAGTCACTCCTAATCCAAGCAAAGCAAGCGGGAGGACAAGGAGCATCAAACGACCGAAGGTCAAGAGCAGGGCATAGAGAAAACAAATCAAATAAGATCCCTCACGCGCAGATTCACGGGCCGCTCGCCAAGAACGTCTGGCTCCACTCAGCCCGCCAAGGAAAGCCAACACCAAATGCTCCAAGATGCTAAAGCTTGTTGCATTCTGGAGGTCCTGGACTAGCTGTGCTGCACTTTGAGAGGGCATCGCCATTCGCCTTCGCAAAAGCGCCATACTGCTCATCTTTCTGATCTCGTCGACCTCGTCGTCGGCCTCGTCATCTTCATCTGCTTCATCTTGATCTGCTTGACTTCCTGGTGGGCCAACGTCCAACTTAAAAGCCATAATCTGTAAGGTTTACCATGGTTCATGAAACATGTCTTCCTCCAAATCCTCAAGTTGCGTTATTAATTTAAGTAATACAATATTCAAATAAAATACTCGACACATGCCCACGTTCCACGTGGAACGTGGTCTCTTGCTGACTACCCAGCCCAGCCCACCTGCGAAACTCACCGTCTTCCCTGGGCCAACCGGGGAGCTCCCGTCGTCCTGCCAGTTCGGGACATTCGGATCACTGCAGGTTTGCTCCCAACCCTCGAAGCCACATGCCTCACTGCCTCACATGCCTCACCAACGTCCGGTGAAAAGCTTCGCCAAGCGAAGTCGAGACTGGAGTCAAACCATGTCAAACCAAGCTATGTCGTCAAATCCTACAGTTTTCCAAAAGCAGTACTCCAGCATATAGTTGGTGTCAAGAAGGCTGCCACCCTCTCAGTGCCTTTGAGAAGCCAACGAATGCCGATCCAGCTCTATAGTCCCACCTTCAACAAAACTGCTTCCCTCGTCTCCTGCCTCCACAACAGCTTCACCAGAGCCTTCCATTTTTCGGTCGACGTTCCACACAAACGGGGCTCAGTCGATCGTTCGCAGCTCAGTCAGTGCCGAGCCGCCAACGGCCCAATTGGCAGCTTAGCATCGGCAGAGCAAACATAAGCAAACTTCATGAAATCAAAAAGATCATATATAATTAGAATGATGAAATATTTTTTTCAAAACATGACTAAAAATCAAGATATTAATATATATATATAATATATATGTTATACATAAAGCGTGGGTCGAAACAAACTAAAAAATGAGCTGCTCTAGCAAAAGAGCTTAGCAAACTAAATCCCCTTCCTGACATGGGTCGAAAGACATTGTAACCTTGAACCACCTGGCCTTCAGCAAGCGCCGCTGCGCGACTTCGGCGCATCAATCGACGCGTCAAGCGACGCGTTCCGCGACGTGTTCCGCCACTCCGGTCTGAGCTGACGGCTGATCTCTGCCTTGGCACATTGAAAACCAGGGGCCCTGAAGACCATGAAACATAATTAGTTTTTCACATACCAGAACCACCTGTTTTGCTAGGGAAAACCAGGTGTTTGATGGTTTGTGGGGCCCCTGGAAGGGATTGACAGAAACGGAAAGAGCAACAGGTCAAGACGGTGACTACAACAATTACTGGCACATCTTTCATGCGCCAAGGTGGACTGACACCGATGCTCAAGGTATCGGGGGGATAATCCACCTCTGTGCTATTGTTCATTCCTGTCCTTGCATGGACGGGAATCTGGAAAAGAAACAACCTCTGCTCAAGCAGTCCTTGCTTCCTTCTGGAGGAGCTCTGGGCTTCTCCAGAGGCTTTGCGCAGTGCCATCTTCTATGGTGTGCTCAGTGTACTCAGCACCGATCTTTCTGCCAGAGGTCTTACCTGCCTTTCGTGGACCGGAGCTGCGCTCGCTTCAGTTGGCTGTGATGCGGGAGTGATGGGGTCCATGGCCACGGGCGAGAGAAAGGTGAGGATCTCTGCCACTGCTACTGAAAGGTGCTGCTCTGAAAAAGCGCTAGAATCTCATGAACCTCAAGGATAGCAGGCCATGTTCATACTGTTCCTCAAGCACGTGGACTTTTGTGTACAATCCAGACCTTGTCAGCTGGCAGAATTGCGGCCGCGGAAACACGGAGGGATCATGAGTGCTTTGGTGGACAAACGAACCTCCATCCCCATAGAGTCGTAGTGGCGAAATCGGTGGTTCGTTCGGAGACCTGATCGACCATGTTATGGGGTGTATGGCCCAGACACTCCGTAGGACTGGCATTATGTACCTACAAAAGGGGCTGGTTTCGGTCAATCTAGGCATCTATCCCATAAATGGGGTATAGGCATAGGTGCACTCACTAAACCTATATATAAAGAAGTCCTGTGCTGCCTTTTCAGCCACGAGATCACGTCTGTGCCCAGATCGCACGCGCGATCAAGTGTGAGCTGCTTCAAAGATTTTTCGGAAAATCCCCTCCACCAGTGTTTGACAAACACCGCACACAGGGAATGCCGCGATGCCCAAAGGAACTATTTTCCGCTAGGAGTGACCTGTCAGACTGATTCATAGAAGGGAAGGGAATCTTCTGGGCCCTCAGTGCGTCAGCCACTGAGACCATAAAGGTCTTTTTCTTCAAAAGACTGGAGCCCCAAGGACCGGCGGTCGAGGCTCAAAACTTCCAGCAAAGCTTGAGCCCCGCCACCAGCGCAGACGTATCGCACAGAAATGGAATAAGTTGCACAAGCACCATCAAGAAATGGAGAGTGCTTGGAGTGCTGAAAGGCTCACGCTAGATTCTTTCAAACATGAATCAGGTCGAAATCAGTTACGGAATCAAACCTGAGACGACACTATTAGAAAGCTGGTGTTGCAAGCCCTCTATCCATCTTAACTGCCCTACAGCCACAATAGTGGCAGAAACAAGCCATCATAGTTCTCACAAAGCTCAGCGAGCAGGAGCCAGCAGGAGAGCAGGAGAAGCAAAAAGGCTGATCATCTCGTGTGAGTGAGGACCACAGCATCCCAAGTTGTTCAGATGTGAAGCCATGTCATATGGAACAGCTCCCACTCCGAGCCATAAAACATCGTGGAAAACACTGAACACAACTTCCTTGGTGTTTGGTGGAGAGCTCCTCCTGCTCTACGTGTTTCCGTCTTCCTGGCTCAGCTTCAAGAGGACCACCGGCGATTCCAGACATTCGTCGGAACGGTTTTCGACGTGTTTCACCTCGAGTGAGGTGGAGGCTGACGCGCCAGCCATGGCAACTCTGAGGTGGGGAACGGGTGCAAACATGTGCAGACTGGAGTGTCACAATGGGACTGTTGATAGAAGCAACAAGATCGGCAACACAATCCAGCAGTGCTCTAATCTGCATAAGTAATTTTGTGCGAAACCGATTGAACTGTCAGCTCCAAAAGCTGTCACTGGCTTGCTTGGCCAGCGATGACGGACCCTCAAAAATATGAGGCCTCCGGAAGGCCTGCAAAGAAACATATTGATACTTGTATTAGTACTGATGTATTGTATGTATAATTATTGCATATATTAGAATTCTACTACAGGTTCTCCAGTTCTCCCACCAGTTTGGAGTTGCACCCTCGGAGTGTGCTCGGACGCTGGCTTGGCCAGTTTTGGAAAATCGCACTCCGCGGATTCCGGATTCGACGTGATTCAAAACTGGGACCATCATGTCAGATCAAAACATGAATAATTTGGCTTTCAAGGTCCTTGTTCCTGAGATTTTCTGAGCCATATGGTCTCTTTTGAAGCAAGCATCTTCAGTGCAGTCTCGCTGCAAAGTCATTCTCCAATCTGCTAGAGGATTTGGCATCACCAAATCGTCTGAACCTGATGCAGTCGAAGCCAGGACTTGTTCGCACCTTGCGTTTCGTGTGTGTCTTTTTGTCTGCACAAACAGAACCTGAAGTTCTTTCATGAAAGCACCACTCCAGCCTTTCATGAAAGAACCACAACGCCTTGTGATCCAAGTCCTCCGGGCCAACCCAAGGCAGTCTGGCCCGACCGTCCCGGATGGACCGTATAGACCGGTTTACGTCGACCCGGAGTGGTTGCGGGTCACGGCCTCCTGAGTTGGAAGCCATGGGAAGAAAAGGCCATGGCGCCAGGGGTTGTGTGGGTAGTTCACTCCTGCCAGAACATTCGACGCACCACCGATCAGAGATCTGTGAAGGAACCAGTTTGATGCGCGAAAAGTGCAGAAAGGCGCAGGTCAAGGCGCAGTCTTGCACACACGTAGGCGCAAAACTTAAGTAGACGTCGGCGTCGGCGTTTTCGTGCATCAAGTCATGCGAAGTAGAAATATGCTTAGACTCTATAGACTTTGGGGAATAAAAGTCCTTTGTAGTCCAGAAAGGGGCCTACACGGGATGAAGCGAGGCGGGACCGCTTGGCCTCGCAGGCCGGACTCGCTTGGCCTGTCAGGCCGGACCCTTCGACAAGTGGCCCGACCGGTTTTACCACGCAACATAACCGTGTTCAACATGAAAAAACAGAGTTTTTGCTGGAGACAAGTCAGGTGGTTGATGGGACTTTCAGAGGGGCATGTGGGGGCCCCGTGGTCAAACTTCAACGCGATCCGAATCGCAGGAATCACTCTCTTCCCGGATCGCAGTGTTCTTTCTCTGCAGCCAGGGAACCCAAGCAAGTACCTGGTTGAAGTACGTGTCCATGTACTCAAACTGCTCCAGAAAGCTCTCCCAGCTCCGATCTGTGATGGTCAACACCAGAGAGTCCAAATACCCTGCGCCTGCCTTCGTGACGACCAACCGCCGGCGCGCGGCGATTTTGGTTCTGCGTGTTTCATGTCTGGACTCTCATGGATGGAACCTCTTCACCCTTCGGTCCCAGTGAGGCTGCCCAATAAAACGCTTCAGGCTCTCCCAGCTTCAGCGGATTTTTCAGGAACCAAATGGAACCAAAACGCATGCTGTCGACACGAAGAGACGGGTTCCCTCCGTTGGAACGATGCGGACACGTGGCATTTCAGCATCCGGCAGCCGCGAGTGGCCGCCGGCGGAACGACGTGGCCACCGTGGTAGATCCCACCGGGCCAAGGAAGGCCCGGGAGCTTCGTTCGGTGGCTTGAGCGTTTTTGTTGGGAGGAATACCATGCATTTGGAACTCCCATGACTCACTGACTATTCGTCACTCTTCTTTGGATCAGTGGGAGCCTAGCTCATAATGTCTTTGGATCAGTGGGAGCCCAAAAACGCCTCCATGGGCAGTCGATGGGTATTTAATCTGACACGGTTGGCCGGCACTGAAGACCTGGGTTCCCTTCGACTGCCATCTCCAGGTCTTGAAGAAGCCACCCACTCAAGTCTCTTCAGGAGCTTCCTTTACTCCCGAAAAAGGAAACCTTCTTCCTGTCTCACCCACAAGTCTTCACACACTGGAACCCGGGTCCCATGAAATCCAGCGCAGGCCAAGCTACCAGCAACCGTGACATGGCAACAACCATGAAATCCACCATCACCTTGCCTACTGCTGCATAGATCACGATGTAGCACCATCCGTCCCGGGTGATTCCAGTGACGCCCAGTACGTGCATCTCGCGGTTGTAGTTCTTGCGCAAGGAACCGGCCCACGTTTCGGAGTACCAGGTGGTGTGCAGCAGAAAGGGGACTGCACGGTCAAAGTTGCCGGGAAGAAAACCCGTCGACGCCATCGCACTGGCCACGATCTTCAACTTCTCCTCCTTGGCGCCTGAGGTGTGCAGAATCGGTCGCTTGGTCAACCATCGGGTGTGAAAATAGGGAGGACTCCCAGGCAACGACCTCGCTGGAAGGTTCCCGAAATAGACCAAAACCATGGGTTGAGAGGTCTCCCTACAAGTGCGTCCATGAAGCTTGCCCCTGCCAGACTGAACAAGAGGTCAATCCACATTGGTGGTTCCACTAGACATATGTCCACCAAGTCCCAAGTTCCAAAGGATTTCTTGACTTTAAAAAGTGTGCCAAAACTACAGGGAACGACAATGTCATGCCTTAGTCGCCATGGATTTCTGATGATTTGGTTTTGGGCCTAGGTAGGACTTTGTCAGCCTGTACAGGCCCCGCTTTGCGCCTTCTTCAGGCTCCGGGTATTTCTCAATCGTGTGGCCATTCACCGAGATGGAACCGGCTGTTCCCACCGTGGTGTTGGAAGGCCTTGGATCCGCGAAAGAAAACGGAGACCTTCCTATCAACATCAACACACACAAAAAGTGATCCCATATCTCCTGCAATGTGTGTTGATGTGGCCAAAAATCTATATCATGATGTGCATGAGTGGATTCCTATATCATGATGTGGCCATAAATCTCCTGCAATCTGCTCACTCAACTAAAGTCAAAAAAAATGTTTTACAAACCAGCTCCGTAAATAGAAATAACTGTTCAGCCCAAATGGCGTTGAGGTCACTGAGTAGCTGCTGCCGGACACGGTTGACTTCCGCAGGTTCGGGCTGCCTGGTTTTCCAACAATAAAACATATTAAGACCTCTCACCGTCTCCGACCGTCTCAGCAGACCGTTTCGTCTATGACCGTCTCTGACCATCTGTGACTGCGTGACCATCTTTGACCATCTGTGGCTGTGCGACCATCTGTGATAATCTCTGACTGCGTGACCATCTTTGACAGTCTCCGACTGTGTGACCATCTGTGACTGTGTCGACACTTGGTCCGTTGCCACTCCGAACAAGTCCATCTAACATCAAGTTGCCCCTGCCTGGCCCTGCACCATCAGCAGCATCTTCGTCTTTGCTTAAGTCTTTGCCAGCGTCACCGGCGGCTCCGTGGGTATCCGAATCGCCTACCAAACGCTGAGAGGGTTCTGATGTCTTTCAATATCTTTCAATGCTACATAATGTCTGCACGCTGCACAGGAAAGATCCAGCTTGTTGACTAGGTTGCTCAGGGCTTATGGTGGGTCTGAAGTGATGTAGCACCAAGTGGCTACCATTGCATTCGCCTATTGTTATGTTGGGCGATGGCAGCCATACATGGCCAACCATCAAATAGTTTTTTTGTGAAAAAAAATGTGGAAAAAAAGCAAAATAAAAGCAAATGAAAATGCAAAAACAAAGCAAAAAGCAAAAACAAA